GGGCTCAGCTCATGGGTTAGATTTTCTACCATGTGGGTATGGGTCCTGCAGATGGCTGTACCCAGCCTCCCACCTCGGCGGAAAGAAGCTGGGACACAGTCTTGCTGCCAAATAGGAGCACTCCTGATTGGGCACAGGGACAGGCATGCAGGATGGGGAGAGTCAGGGTGAAGGAGGCTTCCCCTCCAAGCCTGCTGTCTTCCCCAGTAGCCATGTCTTTGTTCCATCAAGGAGAGAAAAATAAAGCAACTTGGGATCATGCTCCTATCTTAATCTACTTGAGGAAGCTTCAACAATTTATTTTCTCATAGTTCTGGAGGGTAGAAGTCCGAGATCAAGGTGCCAGCCTATTGAGTTCCTGCTGAGAGCCATCTCCAGGCTTGCAAACAGCCCCCTTCTTGCCTTGCTCTCACACCCGACGCTGGGGGAATGGAAAGGCTCTCCCTCTTCTTAGAAGGCCGCTGTCCTAGGATGAAGGCCCTCACAACCTCATTCAGTCTTCATCACCCCCTCCAGATACAGTCCCACTGGAATTAGGGCTGCAGCATGTGAATTAGGGAGACTTAGTTTAGTCCATAACATTTCTGTATGATTTCTTTCTTTCTTTCTTTCTTTCTTTCTTTCTTTCTTTCTTTCTTTCTTTCTTTCTTTCAAGATTTTATTTATTCATTCATGATAGTCACAGAGAGAGAGAGAGAGAGAGAGAGGCAGAGACACAGGCAGAGGGAGAAGCAGGCTCCATGCAGGGAGCCCGACGCGGGACTCGATCCTGGGTCTCCAGGATCGTACCTCGGGCCAAAGGCAGGCGCCAAACTGCTGCGCCACCCAGGGATCCCAGTATGATTTCTTTTAAAAACAAACATAATGTATTGATATTCACAGTTTCCTTTCATTGTTTGATTTATCAGGTGCTCTGTCACCCTTAGTAAGTTGGGAACAGAAGGAAATCTGGCAGTTGGCCCCAGAGTGGGGGCTTGGGGGGCTTTATTATAGATTGTACCTCCTCTTCTAAGTGCCTTGAGCAGACAGTGTCCCTGGGCTGAGCTCCTGGTCCCTGAGGCCTCCCAGTCGCCAGCGAGGGCCCTTGAGGGTGCCCAGGAGCACGTCTGAGATGCTCTGGAACAGCCTACCAGAAATGAGCTTGTTGTAATTGATGGTAGTGAGTATCTAATGACCATAATTAGGCCAGTTTCGGTGCCCTGGGAGGACAGACGCTCGGAGCTGAGGGAGAGACAGAGCTAAACGCAGGGCAGTTGGGAGAGGGCAAGGCACATTTTGCAAGCATGTAAAGAGACATCCAAACATGTGTGCTCTCTGCACAGCCACGTCCACAGCTATAATTGGTGGTGACCTTAGCATGGGTCGCTTTTTTTTTTTAAGTTTTGCTTTTACTCCTATATTAAGGAGTAAAAGCAAATTAATTTTGCAAATTAAGGACATTTGTAAAAATGTAAAAAAAAAAAAAAAAAGACATCCAGTCTTAATAAAGCTTACAGGGTGTGGTAGCTTACCGTAGCAGCACCTCAAGACCTACGCCTGGCTAACACCACAGGGCCTAGGGTATGACGGGCATGTTGCCTCCTTATTCATGGACATTTGGGTGGTTTCAGTTTTTCAAAATTACAAACAGTGTACGGAATGTGTGTCCTATAAATAGGGCATCTGTAGGTGTCAATGTTCCTGTAGAACAAATTCTCAGACCAGGAATTTGGAGATAAAGGATACACACTTTTTCACTGTTAATCAGCATTTCAAAACTCGCCTCCAAAAATGGCTGTACCATTACATACCTGTAGAGAGATATGAGATATGAGAAAAGACTTGGGTATTCTCTGTAATTTGAGAATTTTCTCTGTAATTTCTCAAACTTTCATTTGAGTGTATTTTTGGTGGGTTGTTTTTTTTTTTAATCTCCAACACTTGGTGTGGTATCCAGCTTGTGATGGGCTCCATAGATGCTTGCTGTTGGATAAATAGCACAAGAAAGACTGTCACATGCCTGCAGCAGCCCAGATGCACATATGGGCACACACAGACACACTCACCCTCACATGTGCCCACACACCTGCCTTCACTAAAGCCTCATGTTCCAACCCTGACCACTCCTTTCCCTGATTCAACTGAAGCCATAATAGAAAATGAAGAGGTAGCCTCTCCAGCCCTGGGCATCAGGGCATGCTGGGGCCTTTCTGGGGAGGGAATGGGTCCCATGTGTCCCTCTTGGCCCTCTCCTGATCCCCCTCCCAGACCACAGGCACTCAGGGAACAGCTGCAGAATAAACCTTAATGCAGGAGTAGAGTATCTGCTGTGCCATCAAAGGGCCACATGCAGGGCCCAGCAGAGGGAAGGTTCACAAAGACATATGTGAGTTTGGAAGGGTGTCAGGCAACACCCTGAGTGCCAGGTGTCAGATTCTAGGTCTCACCTGTGGGAGTCAGGGAGTCGTTGACGTCTTTGAAAAAAAGATTGGCATGATGAACAAGTGTTTGAAGGTAGTACGTTTGCAGGTGTACATGATGGATGGAGAGAGGGATTTCCTCTGCAGATCATGGAGGGCATGGGAGGGGTCAACACAGCAGGACCCAGGAATAGTGTTAAGGGAGAGGATGGATGGTCAGTTAATTGAAGAGGTAGATTTGATAGAATTAGAAAACAGTGGAACTTGAACAGGAGGGCGTCCATTATCTACTCTGGGTGAGGAGAGATTAGGGGGACAGGGGCCTGAACCAAGACCAGGCAGTGCAGGTTAACTCTAGAGCAGACTTAGGATCCATCCAGGAGCCCCCAACCCCTGTAACTGCAGCTTGCGTCTGCAAGGATCAAATGGGGGATGTGTTTAGCCTTGCAAGTCCCTGTCCTGGTGTTCTGGTAGAGCACCGGAACTAGGTTTCACATCCGCTGCCTCTTGGAGATCAAGGCAGGTTGTGAGAGAATTGGCTCTCCACAGTGGAAGGCCGCGGGGAGCTGATGGAGAGACAGCTCTCTCCCTCAGCTCTTCCAGAAGGTGCCTGCCTGCGACCCAGGGGGATGGAGTAGGAGGAAGGGGCCCCACACACGAGGGAGATTCCTACAAGGATAGTTTTTTAGCTTCTTCAGTTATCACAAGTAAATTTGTGACAGAAAAGGTCCATCATTTATATAAGGAAGAGGTGAAGGACAAGCCATACGTAAATATCTCTGAGAGGGCTCCACTCCTTTTTTATTTGAATGCTGGAGTCAGTTAGTAGCTGATAGTATTAAAGGAGGCTGTTCCCAAGAAAACACTATTTTTTTAAAAAAAATAAAGATTTTTGTTTATTTATTCCTGAGAAAGAGAGAAAGAGAGAGAGAGAGAGAGAGAGAGAGAGAGGCAGAGACACAGGCAGAGGGAGAAGCAGGCTCCCTGTGGGGAGCACTTAGGCTTTCTTGGGGCAGCCTGGGTGGATCAGCGGTTTAGCCCCTCCTTCAGCCCAGGGTGTGATCCTGGAGATCCGGATCGAGTCTCAGTCGGGCTCCCTGCATGGAGCCTGCTTCTCCCTCTGCCTGTGTCTCTGCCTCTCTCTCTCTCTCTCTCTCTCTCTCTCTGTCTCTCATGAATAAATAAAATCTTAAAAAACAAAACAAAACAAAACTTAGACTTTCTGGAAAGTCAGATCTAGATGGACACCATCACCTCCTTCCTCATCCCACCCCCCACAATGATCATCCACCCAGTTCTTTCTTTGTAGCTACAGACACTTCTTCAGTCACTGAAGAAGCAAACAAACTTCAGGTCCCACAAGACTGCCTCCCTCGGATCTGAGCCTCATTTTCCTTCTCTGCACTGCCTGGCTCCCACGGTCTCCTGGAGCTTTCTAGTCAGATTCTACTTCGCCAGATCCTGCAGCTGCTTTTGCAGAGATTAATGGTGGTCTCCTAATGACTAAGCCCACATCTCACCCCATGACTACTTCTGGTTTTTCCTTGACCTGATCATTCTTTTCCATCTCCTCATCTGCCTGTCCCTTGTGTTGGTTTTCTAGCATTCGAGGGGCATGGCCTACTTCTCATAAATATAACTATGGGGATAGGTGGGTATATACAGATGTCCCAAGTACCACATGCAGATGACACTCAAATACCTGTCTCCCACCCAAACTGGCCAATTCATCCCCAATTCCCAGTAAGCAGCCACCTCACATCTGTGCTTGGCTGCGTCAGGGACTCAGGCTGGGTCAGCCTTTTCACTTGCCACTCTGCACACTGTGCTTGGGAGAATGTGCCATCTATGGCACCGTCCACATGAACTTGGGAATTGCCTGTCTCTCACACCCATATCTGGTGGTCAGGGATCCTGAGGACTCTCCCTCCAGAGGCCCTGCAGCTGCCCTGTATCCACCTGAATATCGGCAGCTCTCCCCAAGGCCTCCCTTGCCTGTCTAGCCCTGCCCCTCAGCAGATCACCCTCTCAGCCCAGCTGGAATGGCTTTTCCAGGTTTTAGGATCAAATGTCTTGTCTCTCTGCTTAAAATGTCTAAGTGGATTAGTTCATCTTTTCTGGTACCCTCTGGATCAAGCTTTTCCTCTCTGACTTTATAGCACCAATTCCCCTCCCCAACACACATAGTCACAACAGATGCACACCACCACAGTATCGCACTGACAGCAGGCTGCCAGTCACATTCATGTCCATGCCTGTGCTGGTATGGGCATCTGGAAATGTGCACTCCCCACCCTCTGGAGGCATGGTTCAGGGCTTCGGGCTTCTCCAGTCCTAGGTGCCACCCCAAACTCGCCCTATCAAGGCCTCCTATATGTGCCCACATGGCTACACTGAATGGTAGCCTGTCTTCACCCCCTGGATTATGCTCCTATGTGGCACCTGGACCACTTTCAAAGTGGGGAACTCAGTGTTTCTTACAGATAAAAGGAAGCCTTCATTTCCCCTCAAGTGTTCAGATATGACACCAGTGCTAATAATCTGTTGTGATTGTTTTGCTCAGACAGCCCCCACTGATTCGGTCCCATCTCTCCTGTCTAGTGTTAAGCATCCATGGCATTCAAGAAGAAGGTCCCTCCAATGCTCAGCTCATGAGGTTGGATAACATGCTGCTGGCTGAGGGTGTATCCAGGCCGGAGAGGCGAGGAAGAGGAGGATCGGCGGCAGCGGCCAACACAGCAACACCAGGTGGCTGTCCAAATGACAATAGCCTTGAGCACTCTGACTACAGGGCCAAGCTGTCCCAGATCCGACAGATTTACCACTCTGAGCTAGAGAAATATGAACAGGTGATCTTTCTGCATGGAAGAGTTTTTATCATGTGAATGCGCATTTGTCAAAGCAAAACATGGAACGCTAACCACCTTTCTTTTGTGGCACAGACCAGAGTACATGCACTTGGTCTCACAGCAGAGGTGGCCAATTTTGCTGGAAACCCTTTGCATTCACTTCTTAATAGCCAGCCTATGTGGGAGCTGCAGGGGGCGGCAGGTGGCTGGTCCCACATGGAGTCCCGAGCCCACCGGCTGGGTGGTCACAGACTGGCATGTATGTTCCCACCCCAGGCTTGCCGTGAGTTTACCACACATGTCACCAACCTTCTCCGGGAGCAGAGCAGGATGAGGCCCGTCTCACCCAAGGAGATTGAGCACATGGTCGGTGTCATCCACGGCAAGTTCAATGCCATCCAGATGCAGCTGAAGCAGAGCACCTGCGAGGCTGTGATGACCCTGCGTTCACGGTTCCTCGATGCCAGGTCAGGCCCTATGTGCTTCCCGTGACCCTAGGGTTGGCTCTTAAGAAGAACCGAATTGCTGCTGGCTTGGGTTTAAGTTCTGGGGGCTTCCCAGCCTGTCCTGGGGCTCCAGCTGTGACCAGGGGTGCATCCCTCACACAGCTTCTTGAGAGGCAATCAGAAGTGCTGACTTTGGCACGCCTGGGTGGCTCAGTCAGTTAAGCATCTGCCTTCGGCTCTGGTAATTATATCAGGGTCCTGGGATCAAGCGCAACATCAGGCTCCTTGCTCAGTGGGTGATCTGCTTTCCCTTTCCCTCTGCTCCTCCCCACTGGCCGTGCACGCGCTCTCTCTCTCTCTCTCTCTAATAAGTAAAATCTTTTTTTAAAAATTTTTATTTACTTATGATAGTCACAGAGAGAGAGAGGCAGAGACACAGGCAGAGGGAGAAGCAGGCTCCATGCACCGGGAGCCCGATGTGGGATTCGATCCCGGGTCTCCAGGATTGCACCCTGGGCTAAAGGCAGGCACCAAACCGCTGCGCCACCCAGGGATCCCTAATAAATAAAATCTTAATAAAAAAATGAAAGTGCTGACCTCTAGGAAATCACAGATGGGGACACAGGGACGTTATGAGAGGCCGGTGCACATACTGCCTGAGGCTGTCCGTCTTTGCAGGCGCAAGCGGCGGAACTTCAGCAAGCAGGCCACGGAAGTGCTGAATGAGTATTTTTACTCCCATCTGAGCAACCCTTATCCCAGTGAAGAAGCCAAAGAAGAGCTGGCCAGGAAGGGCGGCATCACAGTCTCCCAGGTGATGGGCCTCCCTGAATGTAGGAGGGAGAGAAGCTTGTGTCCAATGAGGAGGACACCCAGGGAAGTTCATTAACTGTATGGACTCGGACAGAGTGTGAAGTCCCTGAGGCAAGCACCAGTGGCACGTGGAGTGTGGCCCTCGTCACACTTGTATCACAGGGATGTTCTGTGTTGCATAAGGAAGGTTAGCATATTAGCATAAGAGAAGAAAGAGAACTTGGAACAAAATTAGGGCTTGAAATGATAGACCACCTCTTGTGCCAAAGAACTGGTTCAGCTATCCTGGGAGAGGCCTGGATGTACACACGCTTGATTGTTTCTCCAGTGGCCCAGAGTGTGTGACCAGGGTTATACAATGTCAGGCAACATCTGACTCCACACGAGGAGCAGTGGCACAGATTGCAGATGGGACCCGAACAGACTTGGGAGAGCCTGGTAGCCTGGTCCTCCAGTGTCCACAGTGGAGCTGGGGGCGAGAGAGGTGGAGCTGAGGGGACAACCCAAGAGACATCTTAGACGGTTTCAAGGTGGGAATGGTGAGGACGGGCAGCTCAGGAGCTCCAGTCAGGGTCAGGCTGCACCCCCCAGCCCCTGGCAGCAGAGCTGACTGGCGCTAATGCTAGCTCGCTGGATCTCGCCACTAGCTCCGAGGAAGCCCCCTCCTCCAGCTGTGCAGTCGGAGGGGCTGAGATTCCAGCCCAATCTGGCTGCCTCCAGAGCCCATGCCCTTAGCCAGAGCTCTCTACCCTGGCCCAGGCCAAGTTCAGGCTGCAACTTCATGATAAAGGGCACGCAGGAACCTGTAGGGTCCCACAGGCAGAAGAACCTGCAGGTGTCCTGGTCACATCTGACTTCACTCACCCTGGAACTGCTCTGGCATCCCCAGCACCAAGGCCAGAGCTGAAGGAAGGTGCACACCTCACGAGCTTCAGGGCCACACAGAAGCATGAGGTGTGGTGCTTGCTGGTCACCTTGTGCTGTCTTCTGAAGAACAGCCAGATTCAGTTCAAGGCCCGGAGCCTATGGAAAGCAGATGGGTCTTGGGTCTAGATTTCATCGAGCAGAGGGTCAGTTGCAAACAAAAGTTTGAAAAGCACTAGCCACATCCCAGTGACTCCCCTTCTGTGGTCGTGCCCTAAGATGCCCCCACACACACACCAACCAGCAGCAGAATTCTGTGCTGGGAGCCCCTCCCCAAAGTGGTGCATCCACCAGGTCTCAGGACAGCCTGAAGTGGCTAACAGTGGAGGGGAGATTCTGAATTTAAGGTACAGATGTGCAAGCTGTGAGGTTCACCTAAGGAGAAGGTAATGGGGGCACCCTTAGGGCAAGGGGTGTCACAAATAAGGCCACAGACGTTTTCAAGCTAGAATCAGCTGCAGCTGCAGGCTGAGGAGGCCCGAGGGAGAAAGGGGCAGGTTGCTGAGCCACAGATGAGGTGACAGGCAGAACCTGGGCAGCAGCCGCAGCAGGCTCAGCTGGAAGGGCCAGAGGGACTGGGTGGGGGTGGCCAGTGGCTCCAGGCCACACTGGCCGAGAGAATATCTGAGAGCCTGCTTGAGGTGCCCATGTTGAGGTGCTCCCCATGGAGAGGGTGGACACTGCTCTTCCCCAGCCCCTGGGTCCCCCATCTGTCCAGAACAGGGCCAGCCTCCCACACACAGAAAAGCTCGCTCTCTGCCCTCCTAAAATGCCAGTTAATATGGAAAACTGCTTGCTGCCATTCCTCTGCAAACTCAGTTCCACAAAGACATTCTAGCACATTCCTTGTAGGTGGGAGCCAAGTGCTGCTCTGGCTGCCCTCACACCCCGGGGGCAGGCACAAGGAGACCCAGTGTGAGGGGCAGGGAGCGCACATAAGGGCTTTTTCTTTTCGTGGTTAACATGGAGAGGATAATGTGGAGCACTTGGGTAGGGACATTAAAGAAATACATTTTCAAGAGAGAAAAGGTCATCAAAACCCTGCCACCGTCACTCAACTGTTTTTTCTTTTCTGTTCATTGACCCACACATATTTCACTGCAGGGCCCCAGGCCTTACTCTGGGGTATTGAAGTGTTTCCAGTCATGGCTGTCTCCACAGGAAGGTGCTGGTCAGGGGCTGACAGATTCTTCCCCCAGGGGAAATTTTCACTGTCATAACCCTTGGGTGGGGCGCTACTGGCATCTGGTCAGGGGAGATGCTGCTCAGCACCCCACAGCGTCCAGGACAGCCCTGAGGTAGAAAACGACCCCGGGGAGAAGCCCTGGTCAGTCCTGGTGCAGATTTGGAGTCAGCTGGGCTTGGCCCGCTCAGCCCTGGGCTTCTCCACCTGCCGAGCCTGCTTGCTTGTAGATTGGCTGTGACAGCAGCTGCCCCAGCTGCTCCGAGCACTGGACAGGTGCTTAGCTCAGTGTTCAGCTCCTCTCCACTGCCTGCCAGTTCGTCCACCTGTGTCATCCTTTGATAAGTTGTGGATCAATGTGATCTTTCCTTAGACTGAATTCCCAGGAGTGGAATTACCGGGTCCCCAGGGAGGCGTGTCTCCCTGGGTCTCACTTTCCCTAAAGAACAATCTGGAATCTAATCTGTCCCTGCCCCTGCAGGAAGAGGAACAGTGCTCCTCTTTCCACATGTCAGACATCCTGTTTCCTTCCAGCTCCTTCCCATCCCTGTTCCAGCAGCACGTGGTAGGACAGGCCGGCTCTGGGGTGACCTCCACCCACTGTGGCCATTTCCCTGTGTCCATGGTTCAGTCAGTGCCAGCTTCTCTGTCCCAGCCTCTCACCCGGCCCCAGGGCTGCTTGTTGCCACTCAGGGATGTCCCTCCTGGGCAGTGGGAGCATAGGCATCTCAGAGAGAGCCCACCCTATGTTCATGTTACCTCATTACTGGGTTAGCTTTTCCAGCGACTTCTTTCTCTGTGGTGTCCACAGGTCTCCAACTGGTTCGGCAACAAAAGAATTCGGTATAAAAAGAACATGGGGAAGTTTCAAGAAGAGGCTACCATTTATACTACTAAAATGGCAGTCGACACCACCAAAGTTGGGGGCCTGAGGAGCCAGGCTAGCTGCCCATCAACACCCAGCTCTGGTGAGTGAGGCTGCCCAGCCCAGGGCCTGTCCTCCACACATAGGCATGCCGCTGAGCTGCGCAGGAAGGGATAAGAGGGGCCGGGGCTGCCAGAGACCTCTGTGGAGCAGATGCAGGCAGGAGCTGCATTCCTGGCTGAGGGGCTAGTAGATCCCACCTGAGGAGCCTCTGTAACTTTTGGAGCTGGAACACTAGTCCTGATACCTCACACCCCTTCTAGGTTCCTCTGATCCCTTCCCACTGACCAGTGCCGGGGATGCACTTATCACCCTACAGACACTGGCCTCTCTCCGCCGTACTCCTGCAGGAGGCAGCTTGCGGTCCCAGGTGAGTCTCAAGGCACAATCCAATGATGCCCTGGGGTCCCTGCTTCAGTGTTGGGGCAGAGACTCAGAGACAAAGTGGGTAGGGGGTCCTGGGAATGGGCCATCTTGCCAGCTACCTCTCAGCCTCCCCAAGGCTCTCTCAGGAATCCCAGCAATGAGGAAGGGCCCACTGGATACTCAGTCCATTGCCTTGATGACTGCAGGTTGGCTAAGCTGCCTCCGGGACACGACTCTGTGGGGCCCACTTTGCAAAGACATGTTCCCTTCACTTCCAGCTCCAGGACTCAGGAAGTCACTGTAGCCTCTGAGCTGTTGGGAAGGAGCCCTCCTTCCCAGCGGGCATCTGTACCCGGAGGGGGTGGGAGGGGACAGACAGACAAGGCCCTAACCCTTGGGACTTGGAGCCCTACTAGGCTCAGACCTCCACCACATCAGTGCCTTGGCCTTGCCAGCCCAGCTGTCACCTCACCTAGGGCCCAGCTGGGTCAGAGTGAACATCCATTTTGGGGCTGGGAAAATGAGCCAGGGATCATAAGCATCTCAGACATGCCCTCTGGAACTTTCTCAGGGTGTTGGGCTAGCCAGGATTAGGGGGCCCCATCCCTCTCTTGGCCCCCGGTGCCTCCCCAGCACCCTGCTGTCACAAGGGCCTGGCCCACACACAGGGCCATCCTGAAGAGGCTGTGAGCACAGTTGTGAGGTGTCTTATAGGTTCAAGGCTTTGTAGCATCCGGCAAGGCCTTAGCACACCTTTTCCTTCACACAAGTGTAGCCTACAGTGCCAGGTGACCCCCACTGATTTACCCCCTAATTGGTGCAGGGACTGGATGCCTCCTGGTGCCATTTGGCAGGACCTGGCACAGGGTCCTGCATGTCCTGTCACCACAGTAACCCCACAGCCCCATAATGAGCACCTGGGCAGAGCCGGGAGCTCTGTGGCTGGCTCAGTGCCTCAGGTGTAGCGGGTGTGAGTATGAGAGTGGGGAGCTGATAGACGAGGTCCGTCCTTACCCCTAGAACCAGCCCAGGAGATCTGGAGTCTCGTGGCTTCCCTGGACCAGGAGGCAGGTCCTATCCACCCAGCAGAGGAAGTGGGAATGTCATTGGTCTGGTGTGGACACCCCACCTGTGCTGGGGTGGGTGGGGCACAGATGCTTTTTTAAGAAGGCAGACCCCGAGGGCGGAGGCCACCTGGCCAGAAGCCATGGCCTCCACTCTGTGCACCTAAGGAACATCTGGGCTGCCCTCTGGCTGCCAGTCCGCACCTGGATACTAGCCTGTCACCTGTCAGTCCTGTGAATGGACCCCCCTCCCTTCACCACTCATGGCCTCCTTCCTGGAACACAGGCCTGTGTGTGTCCGAGGGCACAGTGACCCCCTGAGGCTGGTGCTCATCCCAGCTGCTGTCAGACTGATGGGCAGGGTGCCCTGTCAGGAAGCCAGTGGTCCACTGATCCAGTCACCTGACACTGGCCTCTGAAGCGCAGGCACTGGGGCAGCACCAGGGGACACGTGGCGAGGAAGGAGCTACGGTGGGGAGGGGCAGGGGGCAGGGTCTACGGCCTGGTGAGGTCAGATGAGGTAGAGGATGCAGGCAGGAGACCTCAGCCTGTCAGGGAAAGTGCTAGAGAGAGGAAGGTGAGGAGGAACTTGTGTGATCTGCCAGCTAACTCAGCAGGGACCCAGCAAGCCCTCAGGGTCACGTGGAGGGTATGACATCTGGGACCACTGGGCTTGGAAGCCGCCCTCCGGGCACATGTCAGGAAGCCCTGCTCTCGTGGGCTGCAAACAGGACTCACCACAGAGCAGACCACTCGCAAAGAGCCGCTTCCAGTGGTGTTTTCCACTACAGTGGGTGGGGAGATCCCATGGGCAAACATCCCAAGGCTGCGTGTAGCTGCTACTATCCTTGCACGGCAGACAGAGTCCCCGTGCCTGGGGGCCATGGCTGCTACCCTTCTGGCTGCGCAGCCAGACCAGCGTCCAGCCAGGTCCCGAAGCCCCTTCCGGCTCTGTTGTCAGCTCCAGGCCAGACCAGGCTGCCTCCCGCTCGGAGTGTGGAGAAGCCTCGGCTGCACCACGATGCCACATCTGTCCTTGACCAGAGCCTCGTCGGGTGGCCAGTGGAGGCCATTCCGGCCGGGGAAGCTCGCCCATGTCAGGGGTCAGGCAGTGAGGCCAGCTGTGACCCAGGAGGGCCCCACAGTCCCTCTGCTGGCTCCTGGCTCCTCTCCTTGTTTCTCAGTTCATCTCAGTTCACGGCCTTCTGACCCCCAGTCTCTGTCTTTACAGGCCAAGGGTGGCTGGCAGGGAGCCGCGCCCCCGGCGTCCACCACTTCGCCCGCTGGAGACCCCGGCAGCGTCCACTCAGACGCATCTAATTAAGGTTTGGAGTCGACCAGAAAAGCGGGCCGGGTGGCCTGCGGTGGTTTGCAGGCACCCGAGTCTTTGCTGCGTGTGCAGCTGATTACCTCAAAGACCCAGAACCGCAGCAGGTGGCAGGCGCCATCCGTTGCTTACCAGCTGGGATCTGAAATGGGCTGAGATGCTGCTCATTTTCTCAATTCAGTTCATTTTTTTAATAGTAATTTTATGATAAGACTGTGAATTGTTTCTTCTAGGACTTGTCACAAATTCTCCCATTAAAATTTTGGACTTATTTTCATGTCGATGTTGGTCATATCAGGTTTGTTTCAGCGACCGCTGGCCGAGCGGGGTGGGTCGGAGTGTGGATCTGGCCACTCCTGGTCCTTCGTGGGTCTGCTCCCCTGGGCGCTGCCTTCCCCGCTCTCTTCTGTTGTTTCCTTTTGTATGTTGTGAGCTCCGGATGGGGATGGGTTTGTTTTGTCTTTTTTTTCTGTTAACATAAGTTCTACCATCCTCCAATGACCTGTCAATACACTCCCCAAGCGAGAGCAAGCGAGCGCTGTGCCGGTGCAGCGCTGAGAGCCTCGGCATTAACCCCCCTCATTCCTGGGTGACCTCCGGCTGCCCCAGTTCCTCCTCTGCTGGCGTCTTCAGGTGGGCCCTGCCGCCTTCTCCCACCCTGTCTGGGCCCTGGCCCCTCCTCCCTTCTCCAGAGGCCACCAGTGCCTGCCAGTTCCCAGGCCATCCCACCCAGATGCTCTGTGACAGGCTGTGATGTGTCCCAGCTACATGTCCCTACTTTGAACGCCCTGCTGTTCTCCGCATGGTGCAGCTTGGGGGGGTACCACCTCCATGGCTGCCAGGATTTTCCTCCAGCCAATGAAGCACCATGGCAGGAGCCCCTCGGCCTCAGCGCTTGGTGTCTGTCCCTGGCTGCGGCTGCTCAGGTGCCAGCTGGGGACCAATCCGGCACTGCCTGCTGCGGGTATTTCTCCTCACAAGGCTCCATGTGGGTTTTCTGTCCTTTGCATCCATACAGTGGCAGCTGACTCCCTCCCCCTGCCTGAGATGCCTGTCCTCAGGTCTGGCCTGTCCTCAGTTCCTGCAGCCTGCCTCCTGGCTCCCCGCAGCTCAGATTCACTGGCAGACCAGGGCCCTGCTCTAGTGAGATTACATTCCAGAGAAAAAAAGAATAAACATGAGCAGAAGTCTGGGGGTGGGCTCAGGGCCCACCTCCTGGAGAAGGTGCCTTTTTCCCCTTTGAGAAAGAGAGAGAGGCAGTGCTCAAGAGCACGAGTGATGGGGGAGGGGCAGAGAAAGGGAGAAGCAGGCTCCCTGCTGAGCAGGAAGCCCAACGCCAGGCTCATCCCAGGACCCCAGGATCATGGCCTGAACTGAAGGCAGACACTGAGCCACCCAAGTGCCCCTCCTCTTTCTTTTTAAAATCATGGCAAGATAGGACGCCTGGATAGCTCCGCTGTTAAGCTCTGCTCAGGGCGTGATCCTGGAGTTCAGGGATCGAGTCTCACCTATATCGGGCTCCCTGAGGGAGCCTGCTTCTCCCTCTACCTATGTCTCTGCCTCTCTCTCTCTCTCTCTCTCTGTGTCTCTCATGAATAAATATATTTTTTAAAAATTGTAGTAAAATATATATATAACATAAAATTTTTCATTTTAACCATTTAAAGACTCCAGTGGCACAGATTACATTCACAATGTGTTGTGAAATCACCACCTGTCTCTAGTCCCAGAACGTTTCCTCCCCCCCCCAACAAAGGACACCCGGTCCCCACCAGTAGTCACTCCTCACCCCTTCCCCCCCCACCCCTGGCAACCACCACCCTGCTTTCCGTGTCCATGGATTTGTCTGTTCCCAACATTTCACATACATGGGATCATACACTCTGCGGCCTTTTGTGACTGGCTTTGCTCACTGAACATGATGTTTTCCAGGTTCGTCGTGTATCAGGGCTTCATTCCATTTTATGATAATATCTCACCCAGGAAGGTAGGTTTGAGACGAGACCTTAGGGAGGTGAGCCAGGGAGCATGCAGTGTGGGGCGGATGGGCTAGGCACTGCCCCAGGTGCCCACACAGGTGGAAGGGATGAGAGGTGCCCGCCAGAGGGGGGAGCCGGGCTGGTGTGCGCAGTGGGGGCCGCGGGGGCTCAGGTCTTCACAGACACCCCCCCAGCTGCTGAGCCCAGAGTGGACTGAAGGGGGTGGCGGCCAGAGGGTCCTGTGATCACCGGGAGGAGGGTGGGCAAATGCAGGCAGGGTAGGCAGGGTGGGGGGCACATATCTGACTTGCTGTTGAGTGGGAGTGGGGTGGCCTGAGCCACAGGGAGAGTAGGTAGGATGCCACGGAGGGAAAGTAGCTGGGCTCTGGACCGTCAGGGCTGGGGTGTCTATCACACAGCTGGAGGTATTAGTTGTGTTCAGGGGAGAGAAATTTGGGAAGTCCGGAGAGGCCGGAATATGGGACAAAAACCAAGAGAGCATGTCATGGAAGACAGAAGGCTAGATCTCAGGAGCAGGAGCTGTATTAGCATCTTTTTTTTATTTTTATTTTTATTTATTTATGATAGTCACACACAGAGAGAGAGAGAGAGAGGCAGAGACACAGGCAGAGGGAGAAGCAGGCTCCATGCACCGGGAGCCCGACGTGGGATTCGATCCCGGGTCTCCAGGATCGCGCCCTGGGCCAAAGGCAGGTGCCAAACCGCTGTGCCACCCAGGGATCCCCTGCATTAGCATCTAGAAGTGACCGCCCGGGGATCCCTGGGTGGCGCAGTGGTTTGGCACCTGCCTTTGGCCCAGGGCGCAATCCTGGAGACCCGGGATCGAATCCCACGTCGGGCTCCCGGTGCATGGAGCCTGGTTCTCCCTCTGCCTGTGTCTCTGTCTCTCTCTCTCTCTCTCTCTCTGTGTGACTATCATAAATTTAAAAAAAAAAAATTTAGAAGTGACCGCCCGGCGCAGCCGTGTTGGTTGGGGCGCCGACCACCGACCACCGACCACCGACGGCTTCAAGACAGAATCAGCGACTGGAGCACAGTCGGGCTGGAGGAGATTCCCAGCGGAGAGATGGCCAGGCACCCCGCGACGTGGGAGGCCAACCGGCAGCAAGCACCGGGCAGGTTTGGGGTGGGAGAGGGTGGGCTGCGCCGGGACAGGTCGTCTGGGCAACAGGGAGGTGTGACGGGGAGGTGGAGGGTGCGGGCGGGGAAGGCGGGCCCAGGCCCGAGGCCGGCGTTCCCGGGGACGCAGACAAAGCAGCGACTCCCGGGCCGGCGGGCGCAGGAGTCCTCCCCCCACCGCCTGGCCTCCCGCCCACGGGCGCCCTCTGGTGGCCACGGTGTGAATTAGGACCGTGGTTCTCTGGAGCTGGGTCTTTGGGTGGGGGTGGGGGTGTAATTTGAAAGAATATCTTGGCTCAAATTCTTTTTTTAAAAAGATTTCATTTAAAAAAAAAAGATTTCATTTATTCATGAGAGACAAAGAGAGAGAGAGAGAGAGGAAGAGTCACAGGCAGAGGGAGAAGCAGGCCCATGCAGGGAGCCCAACGTGGGACTCGATCCCAGGACTCCAGGATCACGCCCTGGGCCAAAGGCAGACGCTCAACCTCTGAGCCACCCGGGCGTCCCCTTTGCTCAAATTCTGCACATAAAGTCGCACTTTATTAACATTTTATATTGTGCTATTCAAAAACTCCTAGGGACGCCTTAGTGGCACAGTCTGTTGAGCCTCGACTCTTGGTCTTGGCCTAGGTCTCGATCTTAAATTTTTTATTTTTTTTGTAATTTTTATTTATTTATGATAGTCACAGAGAGAGAGAGAGAGGCAGAGACACAGGCAGAGGGAGAAGCAGGCTCCATGCATCGGGAGCCCGACGTGGGATTCGATCCCGGGTCTCCAGGATCACGCCCTGGGCCAAAGGTAGGCGCCAAACCGCTGCGCCACCCAGGGATCCCCTAGGTCTCGATCTTAGGACCCTGAGATAGAGCTTCGCATCAGGCTCCTGGCTCAGCGAGGAGTCCGCTTCAGTTTCTCTCTCCCCCTCTCTCTGACCCCCCACTTGTGCTCTTTCTCTAAAATAAATAACTCTTTTTTAAAAAAACAACACCTGAAATGTGGCCTCGCAAGAATAATTGAGCCAGTAATATTACAAGAATGCAGAGGAGTCATTCGGCACCCCAAGAGGGCCCTGCAAGCAGAATGGGTGCTGATGGGGTCTCCGTGAGACAGGTAGGGACGCTGAGGCTCAGAGGCTTCCCAACCTGGTCCCCAGGGCCCCATTTAGATACTGGCAGAGCCACGGCTATGATTCTGAAGGCCTCACTACTGGGACTGCTCATCCATTCAGCTGCTCAGGAGGGCAATTTTCTAGAATCTGTGAGTATTAAAAGTGCACACACCTTTTTCCTCATCAATTTCCCATCTAAGAATTTTCTACAGATAAACGTACACAAGTATACAAATATATGTATGCGAGAAAGGCAAAATGAAAGCATTTCTTGCCACATTTTTTTTTAACTACAAAATATTGAAAACAAATATCAGTTGGGGACTGTTTAAATCAGTTGTCTTCCTTCTGCTTCTCTGCTGGCCTGGAGAGAGATTGGGGAATCCCACAAGACTGGATGTGAAGATGTGGAAGCTGTAGAGAGACTTCCTAGCGGATGCCGTGTCAGTAGATGGTTCTATCATCCCTGCTGATTTCACCTGGTGGCTGTGTGTATCCACTCCCCACTCACATGTGTGCAGGGATGTGTTCACATGTGACACTAAACCAGCTGAGATGACTCCTGTTCTCTAAATGGCATTGTATTCAGGAAGCATCCTCAAGTTGCCAGCGAGGTAACTCGACTACTTTTGTTTGGGAATCAGACTTTAGAAGCTCCCCTAAGTTGTAGGTCCAGGTTCTGTGACTGCTAGTCACTGTACCAGAACTCCTCAGGTACACATTCTAAAGAGCACTGATCTGTCTGTATACTGACCCGTCACTAACTTGTTTCCTAGGACCCAGCGTTTGTAGCACGTGTATTGTGATTTCCCTGGCTTACTTGTGTTTTGCACTGTTGAATTTTGACAGGGTAATTGCCACTTTATTTGTGCAACACTGCTGTACCTAACTGCAGATTTTTTATTTTTTATTTTTTTTAAGATTTATTTATTTATTTATGATAGACAGAGAGAGAGAGAGAGAGAAAGAGAGAGAGAAGGAGGCAGAGACACAGGACGAGGGAGAAGCAGGCTCCATGCAGGAGCCTGAGGTGGAACTCGATCCCAGGTCTCCAGG